AGATGAAACACATAGACATTAGACACCATTTTATTAGAGACCATGTGATAAAAGGGGATATAGAGCTACATCATGTAACAATTAAAAATTAATTGGCATATATATTTACAAAACCCCTAGCTTTTTAAACCTTTAGTACCTTAAGGACTAGACTAGGCATTATAGATATTCATGCTTGAATCAAGATGATTTGAAAATTGAAAAAAAAAATTGTGGCTTTCTTTTGAATTTGTTTTATAATTATTTATATGATTGCTTTATTTTTGTGATTTGTTTTATGTTTTTTATGGAGCTTTCCTTACCATCACATACCATTTTTTTTTTCACATCATACTATATGATTTTACATCGTATTATACAATATTAAAAAAATATCATATCACTGATCACAAAACATCCAACAACTAATATTTATCAATCATTGGTGATCGTACTAAATAAATACCTACTTTATATTGTTTGATACATGTGGAAATGGACGTTGGATAAATTGAATTTAGCATGTATGATATTTAATACTATGAACACTTGTTTGTATAGGATGATCTGTGAAAAGTCAATGATCATCTAGGTTTACGCCTCAGGACAACATCTTCTCTCTAATCGTCCAGTATAATTCTAATCATATTGTATAATAAGACCACCTTTTTTACTGATCAGACTGGATGAAATTGAATGCACTCGTTCGTATTGTGTGATGTCTCTATCATATTATACAATATGGTCATTATATTTAAAGAAAGGAAATTTAAAGTTTTTCTTCACTCAATTCTTATTCCACCATTCTTCCCTTCTCTTTAAGATCTGAATCTTTGAAATGACCGGAGGAAAGCATTCACGAGCTCTAGTTGGAAGTTCTTCTCGATGCCCTATGGATCCTCAATTTGCTGAAGTCATTGACAAAGAGGCTTATAATCGGTACAAAATTGTTGGGATCATGCCTTCGGAAATCATAAACCTAGAAGTTTAAACTTCATAATGGCTGAGATAAATTTCAATGTAGCTGATTTAATCATTCAATATATTGAGAATCTAACCTGCATTCAAGATCCTAGATATAAAAGAAAGTCAAATCTTGCCTTAGATCACATAATTGCTTCCTTCCTTTAATCCCAATATAACTTTCAATTCCCTGCACCGCCTGATTACCTTCCAACTTTCTATTCCAATGACTCCTTCCATGTCTTTCACAGTGCTCGCCGCTGCAATGTTTACTATATGGAAAACAAGCTAATGAAAGTAGAGGGAGGTCCAACTCTAGCACCAGCTCCAACAACTAGCAGTCTCAGTATAATATGCTTGATCAAATGTTTACTAGTGGGAGGCTCGTTTTGACTCCTATGTAGTAAAGCAACAACAATAGCATGAAAATGATATGGCTCGCTTTGATAACTATGTAGTACAATAACATAATAACACTATAATTACATGACTTGGTTTGTAAAGCAATTTTCTTCAATCCACTAATTCTTTCAACCACCACCACCACTACCTCCACCTGATCAGGATCCTTCATACTTTTAATTTGCTATGTATTTTTATATTTATATTTGTATTATTTTTACTTATGTGCTTTGTGATGTATGTGCTTCTCTTTAGTGTCTTTGTTTAGCATTTTCCTCCTTTATGTGAAATCTACTAGTATATTAGCTCATTATATGTAGTTTACATATTTTTAGGATAAGAGTGATCTAGTTTGTTGAGATATGTATTTTATTTTATTTATAGATGAGGATGTATTTGAATAACATGATATGATTAAATGTACTCTTGCCTATTGTATATATATATTTTTTTTGTGAGAGGGATACAAATGTAAATCTAGATGTTTATGAAATGAAATGAAATATTATTTTTTGATGTTTTACTTTTAAATGATGATTAGTAGCTCTAGGTAATTAATTTGAAGATAAGAAAATAAAATTCTATTCACTTAGATCTTGGGCCGATCTATCACTCCTTATCCAATCCAAGTTAATCTATTGAGTACAATTTAAGTTAGGTTCGGTCATAATAAGGGGTGAGTGCCCCGTGAATCCTAAATCTAAGGCAAATATTAATCTATTTTTAGAGCATTAATGCCTTTTTAAGGTCATTATTATGACCATGCATAAGGAGCAGAAGTACAACTAGATACTTTTTGTAGAGTTTGAGATATTTTAAAAAAATATCATTTTTTCTAAAAGTTGTAAGAAAGATGGTTGCCAGTATGATTGCCTTATATGCATATAAAAATATTAGGTAGAAGCACTTGCTTGATTGCGATCATGCTTGAGATGTTAACATGAATGTCATAGACAATATGAACAACTTTTAGAGATCATAGCAAAGGTTGCCTCCCAACTAATAACCATTTATATCAGTTGATGACTAATTGTTGTGTGTTGTAACATTCATGGTGATAGAGTCAAGGAGTTTGTTGCCTTAGCATTTATATAAAAATTTAGTACACATATACATAAGAGAGAATTATAAAAATTATAAGTGATACTATAATTATTATTTAGGAAAAAAATTATGATACTTAACCTAATTAAAATTATTTCAATAAAGTTTATAACCAATTAAAATGACTCCCTTCCTTGGGAGAAGACATTTATTTAATCTAGTAAATATACAATGCTTAAAACATATTACATAGTTGAAGTTGGAAGAGCCCTATGCCATGGGATATATCCTTAAGTGGTCATTTGCATATTTGGTTGGTTGTACTCCTTTGAAAGAGGAGACCAAAGATAAAGAAGTCCAACATAAATCCAAGTGTTAACATTTAGAGTTAGAGTTTGTGTCAATGACATGCATCAATCTTATAAACGATTGCATATGTTAAAGTTATTTGTGGTGGTATGTAATGAAGTCAGCTGACATCGATATAGACCGATGATAACAATTAAAATACTATAAGATAGAGTATCGTAGTCAAGCAATAGAGGTCTATGGACCATAGTTAGAGGACATTGGTCATAGGGCCTTATTCAAGAGACAAGGATTAAAGGACCACAATCGGATGATGATGGTTGGATGAGCATTGTCAGTGTAAATTAGTCTGAGAGCTGTAATCGGATGATAGTGGTTGGAGGACTGTAGTCGAGTGATTTTGATCGGAGGGTTATAATCGGACAATAGTGGTTGAAGGATTGAGAACCAAATTTGAGTGACAGTGGTTGAATGATCGTACTTGGAAATTATGGTATGACGATGGTGGTGGTTGAGCGATGGTGCTCGAGTGAAGATTTGAGATTCTTATAACCTCTAAGATCTCTTGAATCTCAAGCTTAAGTTTGAGCTCCTCATCTCAACCCCTCTGGTCACAGGGCCTTATTCAGAAGACAAGGATCAGAGGACCACAATCGGACAATGATGGTTGGATGAGCATTGTCGGTGTAGTATGGTCTGAGAGTTGTAATTGGGTGACAATGGTCGAAGCACTGCATTCAAGAGATTGTGATTGAAGGATTATAGTCGGGAATTGTGGTTGAAGGACTAAGGACCAAATTTTGAGTGATAGTGGTTGAATGATCGTACTTGAAAATGATGGTATGACGATGGTAGTGGTTGAGCAATGGTGCTCGAGTGAAGCTATGAGATTCTTATAACATATAAGCTCTCCTGAATCTTAAGGTTGAGTTCCTCATCTCAACTCCCCTCTTCCGCCGGATATTATTGTAGAAAGTGAGAGACTATATATAGATTTTGAAGAGTTACAAGTCTTTAAAAAAAAAAAAAAAAAAAAAAAAAAAAAAAAAAAAAAAAAAAAAAAAAAAAAAAACATAACACTCCACTAGATGATTAATATTGATTATCTTGATTATAAATCATTCATTTAACAATTAAGTGCCTTAATGATATCAGAATTAAGTGAACTTAGGCTCGTTTGATTCATCTCGTCTAGACACTCAATTCGATTATAAGCCCGTAGGAGTTGAGATTATTTGATCATCTATTTAGGGCCTAAAGTTTTCAATAATGCTTTAATTGTTCGATGCAAGCTAGCTCATTCAGACTACGATTGGAACACCTTTAGTATCATTGGGTTTATCACATCAAAGCATTCAATTTGATTATAAGTTTATTAAAATTAGAATTATAATGACCCTTAATTAAATTTCAAAAAATTTTATTCAAATATTCATCAATCCGTTCGGGACCATTTTTAATGACAAATTATCACTATTCTCAATTGAAGGATTTTATAACATATTTGCTATCCTTTCATAAATTTTACAAACTAATCATTTTATTTACGTCCTTAATCAAAAGAGTGACACTTGAGCATCAATAAGCAATCATGCAGTTTTTTTTTTTCTTTATTTCTTTCTTTTTAACGATAAGTGATTTTTAAGTAAAGGATTTTCTTATAATATCATAAATCTTTTATTTCTTTATATATTTAATGCTTAAATCTATATATCCATATAACACTTTAAAATATATATCCCTTCAAATAATCTGCTCATAACCTTTGCGACATCTAATCAAATTTCCCCTGGCACAACCTTACCGATATTTTCAACATATATATCCCTTTGTATGTAGCATTAAAATGCATGGCTAAATTTTATACTTATTTATATTATTTTTCATTAAATAAAATGTAATTTTTCATAATAAATTTTGATATGATTTAACTACTAAAATATTATATAAATAAATATACAACTATTATGATACAAATCCCCGTTTTTTTTTCTTAAAATTCACCCAGTGCATAAAATTAATTAGGCACTGTAATTTAAGAAAAATATTAGAATATTCTAACCAAACAGGATGATCTTCAAAAGCGTTAAATCTTAAAATAGTCGTAATATTAATTTGGATAGTTTCTTTGAACGAAAATTGATGAAAGGAAGCTTTCATGAGGGCATTTAAATTTTGTAGAATCAATTTCAATAACGTATGATAGCATTAACTAATGGTATGACTCCAAAAAGCCTAAAATTTTTTTCATAGAAAATTTTTCTTCCGCCAATTTGCATTCAAAGAAACAGCAAAGGTGACAATAATTTTGAATTAGCGAGTTGAAAACTAAGGCTTCGTTTGAGACTGACTTATTTATTCTTTTTTAAAACGAAATTTTAGTACAAAAATTTTATATGAAAAAAGATATCGCCAGCTAAATTCCACGATAAAAACTAGCAAATCTCCTTAACCTTCTTCGTAGTCGAAATCTTCATGTGGATCATAAATAATCATATTTGGAAACAGCTCCAAAAAGTCAGCTTTTACTTTCTCTCTGAGATCAGGGAATGGTATGAGACCTTTCAAAATGACCCTGAATGGTAGAGATAGAGGTGGGTCAGGAGAGCTTCTCATTTCATCATAAAATTCCATAGCAAGTGAAGGTAAACCCCCGTCTGTGAAGGCTCTCACAATGTCTCCATATGTATGCTGATCAAATCGCACAGCTTCAGTCCTTAGATCAGCCCAAACATGTCGAGTCTCTTCCTCTCTTTTGTTCCTCGCAAGCATTATAAGCATGTCTCTATAGAAGAACATGTCAGGGTGATACCAGATTTCTTTCCTAGCAACTTCATATATCTGTAAGAAAAAGTATTCAGTGCATAGTGTTCTAATATAAAATAAAATAAATTTACAACATATGGACTTTTTGGATATCAAAGAGAAAATTATTGTTAGGATTGTGATGATCATACAAATAGATTTGCAATAAAAAACACAATGAAATCATATGTTATGAAAATATATCATATAGTTATATACTCTTTTGTCAATTTGATTATTCTAATATTTGTGGATTATTTTTTTAATGTGTTTTTTATTATATTTATGAATGGCCTATATTTTTCTTTCTAAGGGCACTATCATGTATTTGTGTTAGAGAAAATATGATTGTAATTCTCCACAATCAACACATACTGAAATATGAAGTGGCCGTAACATGACATAAACATCAATTATGCATTTTCATGCATGAATTTTCTTTCCTGTTTCATGTCATTTTTTGTTTTTGATGATTGAATTAGGTTTCGCATATTTCTCAACAGTTGAAGCATGTAAAATTAATTCATAATTTCATTAACATCCTTCCAGTCCTAGTACCCTAGCGTCTTGATCCATGCTCTATTTAGGTCCCTCAACTATAAAAAATTTTCAACTTATATTCCTTAGATAATTAAAAATCTGACACTCAGCAGCTTATCACAACAGTTATAGAAGACTCAAAATTGTTCTAAAAAGATGCACTTAATATGAAGTGAGGTCCTTAGAAGAGTACTCGATAACAATCATCCGCATGGCCACGTACATTGCAATAACAGTGGTCCACATAAATAGCATGAAATAAAACATCTCGTCAAAATTTGTTGGCACAACTATTAAATTGTGGAGCTTAATTTTTGCTATACGAAAAAATAAAGTATGCAGACAAAGTCGTGGGCAACTTTTGTGACAAATCACTGTGGGAGTTGTTTCATTGTAGGTGTGTCGGGATTTCACTGTATTTTTCAACTAACCTTTTTTTTTTTTAATTAAAAAAGAGGGAATCTTTATATTGTGCCTTGAGAATTTAGAGCTGTGAATCGAAAACTTCATCATGTTGAAACCTACAATGGGGACGAAATGACATAGCCATCAATAGTGTGGACTTATATAAATTTCTTAATATGTTTTATGCGTTAATCTACCAGAATGACAAAAGTTCGCTCAGGTGCTAGCTGCCATATCACACCGCACATAGCTATCCTATTCAGACCATTATGCCGCAACACAGAATCCATTATTGGCTCTCATGCACGGATGGAAGACAGACTCGATTAGTTAAAAACAAATGGCATCACTTGAGAAGTTGACTTATCTAACATGAAAAAAGATTCTTTGGGCAACATGTTAACTGATGTTATGTTTAGTTATGGAAAGCAGACAATTTCTGCGCCTAATCGGCTAAATTTTAATCACTTCTTAAAAGCTAACCAAAACAAGTAGAAAAAATAGATATTTTACAAATATTAATGGGCCATTGACATAAAGGTAATGGAATAAATTATCATAAGAATCCTGCCACCAAAATCCATGTCTTTTAAGTTGCCAAATTTTAATCACTTCAAGTGAGGATGTCGGTAAGTTAGAGGAACTTCCTGGTTCATCCAAATTATCTCTTTAACCAACTAACAACATAACTCTGCCTAAGGCTTATCTCTTCATTTATCACATTTAGCTTGTCCTCGCTTGGTAAGGTTCTCCTAGAGAAATGCTTAAACCAAATAGCCCTATGAAATGCTATTTCATTGGATATAGAATCAATGATTTTGGCTATAAATTTTGGGATTGTCAATATCATAATCATGAAAATCATATTTTATACTACATGAAATGATCATTAAAATATAATTTTAACAAAGCCAAAATGTAGGCCATCAGCTGTATATAGGTTGATCTAGAGGAGATTAAAGTTATGTGCAAAAAATGGGACATCTGACCTTTGAGAATGCTGAGACATAGCTAAAGTTAAGGATGCTTACAATATAATCTCAAGGAATGTTTAACCCTACTTCAAGATATTCTCCTTCTTTACATTATTTTTTGCCTAAGTGTTTTGAAGAAACAAAGAGGATTAAAAACTATTAAATAGGAGCTGCTAATGAAAAAGAAAATTAGCTCTTAATATAATAAATAACACTTTGGAAATCAACTTGACTACGAAAGGATACAAAAGCATTGCAAAAGAAACAAATAGTCAAGATCAATGAAAAATAAAAGACAAAATAAGGGATAAAATAATCGCAATAATGAGACTTTTTCTACTACAGTTACATTAACTACTATAGGACTAGTATAAAGCATAATAGTAAGAAGTCAAGAAGCTTTTCATGTCAATAGTTCATAGAGTAGCATACAGCATGTTATTTACATAGAAAAGTGTAATAAAAGTATAAAACAAAATGGTGCACTCTGTATGCACTTTAACGCATAAAACAAATTGCGTCTGTTATTTTATTAATATGTTATTCAAGTTCATTTTAAATTTTTAAAAGTTGGTTTATTTATTTTTTTTTCTACTTTTAGAAGATATTAGGATTTCATAAGCCACCCATGTGTCATGCCCCACTCATGTTTCTGAAAGGATCCAATTCTCGACATTTCAAGGTTATGTGAACCTTCTCAATGATACCTCAATGACACTTGTGCATTCTCTTCTATAGCTCCATGAAGTTTCTTCCACTATTGTATGCTTTTTTTTTAATGTTTAATTCTGTTTGCTCTAATTTGATTAATTGCTAGCAATATTATCTTATCATCCAATTGCTTTGAATTTGTTTGATTATTATTGTTTATATTGTTCAATTTGCAGAACTAACATCTTATTGTAAGCCACATCACTACATTCATTAATTAGAAGAAAATCAATCAATATCAAATTTAGGCCAAACTTCTTAAAAAAGAGTCACCATAAAAATAGTCATCAATTAACCTTCATGTATGTTAAAGAAACATTATAACATTGATAATGATTTGTTGTATTAGGAAATTCTCTCATAAATGATTGACTTATAAATAATGTATTCATTTGTTATGCTATTTTTAAAATAGTATGCATCATGTTGTGCATGCATGATGGCTTTACAAGACATTTGCAATATCATGTGCTTTTCGTGATTGATAACTATATTAATGGGCATTTACATGGTATAACTTGAAGGCTTGGAAAATAAAGCTTTATTTGCAAGTTAAGTAAATGTTTATATAGGTTAAAGTTGGTTCCTTGTCAGTGATTGTAGAAATTCAATTGGTCCATGCATCAAAATTGTTTCACCAAAGGCCATGCAAATCATGGTTAAAATATTAAAAGAGTTGGTAAGAGCTGTACAATGTCCTTTTATATATAAAATGAATGTTGATTGTGTAGGAAAATATCAATTAGACCAATAATTGAAGTAATAATTATCTAAGGAGTTTAACATGAAGGAATTGAGAGGAAGAAAAAAAAATCTTGGGACAGAATTGCTAATGACTAAAATATGGTTAATTTTTGAGACTATCTAAGGCTTATTATTATTAAGAAAGACATATAAGAAGATTTAATATTTCAAAAATAAAATCAGTAAGTGCACTCTTAGATTATCACTTTAATCTCTCAAAGAAACAATCATCATAAAGTTATAGCAAGATAAAGCATATGATCAAAATTTCTCCAAGAAGTTTTGGTGCGCATAAGACCTAATATAGGTTATAGTTGAGCAATATGCAGGATTATAATGAATCTATAAAAGCAAACACTACAGGAAAATTATCAATTACCGGCAGTTAAACCGGCCGTGTAATCGCCGGTTTTAATAATAAATCGCCGGACATTCCTGCGGTAAAATGACCGCCGGATATGCCGCCGGTTTTTTGTTTGGGCGTCGCATATTATGGGCGGTTTAGCCGCCGGTGTTAAGTGATATTTTCCCGGTGGTTCAAACCGCTGGAAAAACGCCGGAAATTGACCTAAAATTGGTCATTCGGCCCTTCCTCCTTATTTCTTCACGTTCTGTTTTTCATCTAGACGCTGCTCTCTCCCTTGCTTCCGACTTTGTCCACAGGACTCCGGCCGCCGACACCCTCACTCTGCCCGCACGCCCTCACTCCAGCCTGTGAACGCCCCGGCCCGAAGGTGATATCCGTGCTTTTACTTTTTTTTTCTTTAGTCATGGATGTTTTCACTGGACATTTGCAAGAGGATATGTATGCAAGAGCTATTACTTATGTTCAAACATTAGATGGTTTGAACAAGTATTTTCTATTTCAATTTGATTACATCAAGGATCAACCTTAAGCACATATCTTTTTACTTTAATCATAAAGAGAATAATGAGGACCTACATATGATATTTATTGATTAGATAAAGCATATGATAAAGTTCCAAGAGAAGTGCTATGGAGAGTTCTAGAAAAGAAAAATTATTAATAATTATTATATTCAAGTCATTAAGGATATGTATGCAAGAGCTATTACTTGTGTTCAAACACTAGATAATTTGACCAAGTATTTCCCTATTTCAGTTTGATTACATCAAGGATCAACCTTAAGCCCATATCTTTTTTACTTTAATCATAGATGTTCTTAATAGACATTTACAAGAGGATTTATCTTGGTGTATGCTTTTTCTGATGATATTCTTCTTGTTGGTAAGACTAGAGAAGATGTTCAAGGTAAACTTGAATTATGGATGTTTACCTTAGATTGTAAAGGTTCTCGCAAGAGGGGATTATGAATTTGGGTGATAAAGTCATTAATAAGAGTATACGTTTTACATATATTTGATATCTTGTTCAGAGTGAAGATGAAATATATGGGGATATTATGAACAAAAAGTCACCTTAGATGGTTTGGTCGCTTAAAACGACGGCCTTTCGATGACCGGTTATGAAAGTAGAAGTATTAGATTTGACCTATTTTAAGAAAGGTAGAGGTAGACCTAAAAAGACTTGTTTAGAAAATATTAAAAAAAATATTTCTTTCTTAGATTTAAATGAGAATTAAGACTGCATATTTTCTAATAATTGATTTCACAATTATGTAGGGAACGTTTGCTTTAACA